AGCAACAGTTGCGAGGAAAAAAGGCATAACCAGGAGTCAGGACAACGGAGAAAATGGCCAGAAAAGGAAGAGGAGAAAAAACAGCCACGTAATGGCCGACAACAAGGACAACAAAGCGCTGACTGGAATATTTTTCGTATTTTATTATTAAATCACGTAGCCAGTGCAATACGGCGTCCAAAATGACAGCGAACGCATTTTAATTGAAAGCAAAGGCAACGCAACGCCAAGAAGGTCCTTCTGCGACTCGTTCTCGGTCTCTGAAAAATCTGGGGAAAACGCTAAAGCCAAGTTGAACCGATGATGTGGCACAAGCAGACGAATGGGGCAACTGGGCGGTTTGTGGGTGGTGGCGAGTGAGTCGCGCTTCTGCAAGAGACTTTGGCCGAGAAGTTTTCTAATTGAAAATGGCGTCGCAAAATTTAATTTGAAAACTTTCACTGCCAGGCCGGCAGAGTGGCCGCCTTCGCTGGCTGGCTGACCCACAACGCCATCGACAACGACTTGCCGGATTTGTGAAAAATCCCCAGCTGAACTGTGAGAAAATCCTGGGAAATTCTGGTGGAGTGGCAACGAAAATAAGCACTTTCTGCCACAAGATTGGCATTTTTGTCGAGTGCAGACTTACAGCGTCTTAGCCTCTTAAACTAAACAATTGCTTAATGTTCTAAAGCATTGCATTGCTAGATTATACTTTACGATTTTTTGTGCAGGTGTAATGGCTAACATATGCTTGTTTATTCGCTTGCAAACAACTAGGCGTTATTTTTGCCAGTGCACACACGTTATTAATAAGCCTACAAGAGAATGTTGGGAAACATTTCGTATCAGGGGGCCGCCAAGAAATATTTCGCCTAATTGAATCGCCTGGCGCGAACATTTGTTGCTCGACTTCTTTGGCGCCACGAATTCGCGACTCTCGCCCAAACATTTTGCCTTTAAATAATTCGTGTACATTTATTTGTTGTGCCTGTCCCCAGTGTAGGGAACTTCTTAATTTGTACATTACCAGTGTTTTGGCCAAAGCGAAGTAATGCAAACAAAGGGCATAGAACACCAGAGTCATGTACTCAGGTTAAGCACTTTTTGGGGCTTATTTGCCCTCAAAGATGGCGGCAACCGGAAGTGCGCACACACACACACACAAACACGCCTCAGAGACACACAGGAAAAGAAAAATACGCAGGGGCAAAGTCAAAGGCTGAAGCAGGGAAACAAAACATTCTGGCATTTCTAATTATAAGTAAATATTCATACTCACATTTCTAGCAAAGTGAGAGTCTGTGTGTGTGTGTGTGTGTGAGTGTGTGAGTGTGCGAGTAAAGCACTTTAAAAGTTATTTACACACACACGCTGAATGGAGGCAACCGTGTTAGGCAGCCCGTAATGCATGCTAAAAAGTGTGAGAAAGTACATTAGGGTCACTGACGACTTTGACTACACTACAAAGGGGCGTGGCAGGGGGGCGTGACCCGACAGCTGCTGGGTCAAAAAATGGGCGGAGCAGAAGGGCAGGACGAACCTCCGTCCGCAATGGCAACCACTTTCGCTCTCAACTTGCTACATTTTGTGGCAAGCAAGTGTGTGCGTATGTATGTGTGTCTGTGTTTGCCATAATGTACAATTTAAATGTAAACAATTTGGCCCAACGCGGCAAAGGCAGTCGTGGCATAAAAAGCAGTAAGTAAGGTCGGCCGTTCGAGGGGCTGAGGAAATGAAAAAGCAAAGTCCGGCCGGAGTCTGAATGAAATATTTAAGAGGCAGCAGAAGCATCGAAGCGATCCCCTTCTATATGGAGTGGAAGGGCATATGGCAAACTGGCGCAGTGTAGCATCTGCTGCCGCCGCTCTGAATAGTGAAACTCAAATATTTATCTTGGCAATTGCCTGTAATTTGGTTTAGTTCCGACTTGCCACCGTTCTAAATAAACTTTTCATTAGCAGCCCCATGGCAGCAGCAGCTCAAATACGCACACAAAAAAAGGGCTAAGGATCGAGAGCGCAGGACACATAGTACATATACAATTATGCTGAGCTCGCCCTGATTTCAGTTAATTAACTAACTTATATTTTGCGTAATTGACTTTTATGTGCGTTTGGCAAACGTTTCAATCAAACCCAACCAGCTCACCATGCTACAACCATTCCAGAGCCACCGCTTACCATTTACCATTCACCATTTACCATTCACCAAGAAGACAAAGCCGCAACCGCAGAACAAAACCACACTGCGCACACAGTGCGTATGTGTAATATGTTATCTATGTGCTACGTGTTATGTGTTATGTGTCAACCCCAATGGCCCGATCCGAATTCCATTCGCTTACGCTTTAAATATCAATTGAATAGAACCATTTGGCTGAACCAAAAAAAAGTGTTCAAATGTTGAAAGATTGCCAAATACCATTTTTTTTCTCATTGTTTTTGCCCACTGTTTACAATGACACGGCACACTTAATGGGCAGCCTGTGAGTTTAAGTTTATTTAGCCAGGCGCTTTGTTGATTTTCTATTATTGTTCTTGCAACACTTTCCGTTTGCCGTGGGTTTATTTTGCCGAAAGTTCATTAAACTATTGGCTGGCAGCCAACGCTCGCTTAAAAAGAAATCAATTAAATATATCCGCTGGCTGTATTACGTGGATATCTTAAGCCCAGAGAGCGAATCTCGCCTTGAAGAGCCGCAAAGGCCTCCAACCACTGCATAATTAATGCAACGTTGTCTTGGGGCTCTGGCCTTGTGGCACGGAGAGCCCCAGGCAGTGGATTCCCAGCCAAATGGGGCACGAAAAGCAGCTGGCTGCTCTTGGTTTATGCATGCAAAGTAACACGTTGCGTATGCGCAATTTCTCCCTAGTAAACTTAAAGCTTTACGGGCCAGTGGGACATGGTTAAATCGTAAAATAAAATAAAATACACTTTCTGAGTGAAATCCGCAGAGAGATCATCCGAAATGCATTTCCATTTTTCACTACATCGGCAAACGCATTCGAAAGCACCCCATTGTCTTAATTGGAATTATAAAACAGCCATAAACACTCAACGAATTCGATGGAAATTAATTGATTCATGCCGTTGAGAGCCTGTCAAATGCACCGATGCACAAATGATGAGCTACCTAGAAACTCCCTCATGCAGTCAAAATTCCAATAGTCGCGCCCCTGTGCATCCAACTCGATGGGTTAAGTAAATTACAAGTGGCTAAAAATAGGCGGAAATAATGTGATGTGTCAAAACAAAACATCAAAAACGAGGGAGCACCGCAGGTAGAGCCAGTTTGCCTTGGATCTTGGAACTTTTTGAAGGCACATCAAAGACGAGGGATTCGTCGTCGTCCGACTGCCAATAGAGAATTAAATGTGGTCATAAATCATTGGGCAGGGAGCGCTAACAACTGGCAATTATAAATAGATCTCAATCTCGGTGGAGCACATCAAAAAGTGTTCCCAGCGCTTTGCATAATTGGTCAGATGGAGGAGTTCGACCTGAATTCCGTCCACGGAGGGGATGCCATGATTTAGATTTAGCCACTGCCATTTGGCCCCACACATCCGCATCCACATATCCGAGGCCATTCATATGGCTTTACGGGTTAGGTGTCGTCTCCTCTCGCATTGGCCACATATTTGCACAGCCAGCCGCAAGCCAAAGCGTTGACAAATTGCAGCATAGAATCCGGCAGAAGGAGCATTTTGCCAGCCATTTTGTTTGCCATTTTGCTCAAGTTGTCAGCGAGTGCGCGCCGGAAAGTATGCAACTTATAACAAATGGCCAACTCGTTGGCTTTGCGGCCAAAAGAACACAGCTTACCAACGAGCTGCGCTTTGGGACTTCAATAATGTGCAAATATTTTTGCGCTTCTGCATACATTTTTCCCTGCTCTTTTTTCGCTGCAATCCCATTTACTTGCGCTGAAAACCATCAAGAGGCAGCAAAAACACGAGCAAAAAATATGTTCAAGTTTATTTGGCAAAATAAAAGCGCGGCCAGAGTATGGTGTCGCTTAAAATTAAGCCATAAAGGCTGAGCCGATTGAGTTTGGAATTTAAGCTGCATAAAAACCGAGCTCTGCTGGGGGCAAGTTAAGCACTCAGTTTTGCTTTAAGGAACCAGATAACGAGGCCTCAAAACGAAGCTCAAAACGACAGCGGTATTATTGTGCAGGTGGAGCAAAAATAAAAGAAGCCGCTCAGGCGGAAACAATGTGGAAATTTTACAGGTTGCCCTGTCAAATAAAAGAACACAAAACATGGGCCGAACACAAATTCAACAGAAATCATTTTTTTGTCGAATCAAAAAGGAAGCAAAAATCCTGGCAGGAGAAGCCGACAAGGACCAAAAAAGAAACATCAAGCTCGACAACGGCAAACGACGCTGGTGACGACAACCGGCGAACGGAAGCGGGGCAAGGACAATGCGGCAGCGGCGGCACAAGGCGGTGGGCGGCTGTGGGTGTCGGAGGGCGGGGCCCTTCGAGCAGGTGTGGGCGGTGGGGCGGTGGGGCGGTGGGGCGTTGACCGTCTTCGGCGGCGTGGGCGGGGCTGCCGCGAATGGCAAGCGGAAGCATTGTGTTAAAATAACAAACAATCAGCCGAATCATGCAGGAAGTGCAAATAATAAATAAATATATATCGCACTGCGAGGCATTTCGCCAGAATCAACTTCGATTGCCGACGACAGCTAATAAAATAAAAGAAAAACCGACAAAAAAATCAGCAGGAAATCGATATGCTCTTAAAAACACAGCAGAAATCAAATTCGGAGAACAGCGTGCTATTTTAAAATAAAGAATGCTTGCTATAAATAATGATACCAAGTTTCATTTCCAGAAGCCAAGTGGTTATTCTGCTGACATAAATAGGGGCTTGCCTAATCAAAATATAGAATGTATATATTACACATGCTGACCGGCTTTCTGATGTATTTTTTGCGCTTTACTTATAACTTAGCTAATGGGCGTTTCTCTAAGTGCAGCGGTATAATAAACCTTATTTTTATTTCAGTACCCGCTCGATTGGTTTGGGCCGCTTTGGGCAAAACGGTGGAGCTGCCCTGCGATTTGACGCCGCCCACGTCACAGGATTCGGTGAAGCTGCTGCTCTGGTTCAAGGACACCACGGGCATTCCTCTGTACAGGTGAGCGAAACTACTGCCTTACTCGTACATCCCGGGGGTCACTGGTGCGCAATCATCCACTCCGAGTGCCTACAAGACAGCCATCCATCCATCCGTCCATCCGTCCGTCCGTCCGTCCATCCATCAGGCCATCAGGAGCGTGAAATAATCGTCAGCATCCTTTTGCTACACCTTACGTGTTATTTTTTTCTCGCCGAGCGCTTTTGGCTTATTTCCGGCAGCTGCCACATACAACACATGCGTACAACAGTACGGCAGTATGTGTGAGGTTGTTTTGGGGCAAGGATGCGCCCGTCATAATCCACTTTGTTATAATAAATGTAAAGCACATCCGATTACGGCTGTCGTTGCTAAAGTGTAGCAAATTTTCACGCACACACGCATATGGACCCGTAGCCATCATATTTTTCTTGCCCGCTTTTTTTCATAAATTTGCGCTGATAAATTTTCAATATAAATTGTGGCAGCCAGCGTGTGCCCCGCATGCCAAGTGGCAAATGCCTTCCGACTTTGCGTGCCGCAGCCGACTGCCGGCTGCCGGGAAGCACTCGCAAAACTCTCGGGAGCACTCATTAGAAAGGGGTTTATGGATGGCAAAGGGGCCGGATCTGTGTCAGCCCAGTCGAGCACGTGAAGTGGCCGGTACTCGATAATCATGAGCGTGGAAATGCAGTCGGAGCAGTGGCGCTGGCCACCCCAGAGTCCTGAAATAAACTGAGTAATTTACTAAAACAGCAACAAATTACTGCAATTTGCGCAGAGCTGCCAAAGTCGCGGGGCAGACGAAAGGAGCGCGTCCTGCCACACTCCACGCTAAACTCCTGGCTCATGGTGTGCAAATTGAGCGTCATTTTTTATGGACCCAAATTATGCGAGGGGCGCTGGGCGCTGGGCGCTGGGCGGTGGAAGGAGCCATGCCAACTTATGCTCTTCGCATATGCTTATTTATGACATCTAATAATCGCTACATGCTGCCACGCCCCCTCACTTACACTTGTACATTCGCCTCCCTGATTTTCCTCTTGCAGCCTGGACTCGCGGGGCGGAAACGTGAAATTGGCGCCACATGCGGCCATAGCTAGCGATCTGGGGCAACGTCTGTTCTTCAGCATCGGCGATAATCCCAAGGACTCCCGCCTGCAGATCAACGATGTCAAGCCGGAGGATGGGGGCGTCTACCGCTGTCGCGTCGACTTCTTCAACTCCCCGACGCGCAACTTCAGGCACAACCTGACCCTAGTTGGTAAGTGGCAACATTATGGAGCCGCCTGACCGCTAAAGTGGCGCATTAAATTTCGCATCCGTTTCAGTGCCTCCCGAGGAGCCGCGCATCTTCGATGCCCAGGGCAAGGAGATATCCCAGATGGCAGGACCCTTCCGAGAGGGCTATGAGCTCTTCCTCTGCTGCCAAGTGCGAGGCGGTGAGTTAACAGATTCAAATTGCAGGCTGTACTTGTCAGGCAGCTGACATGAGCTGCATCGTGGAAAATATCACTGTAAACCACTCTCATTATATTTAATTTATTCACAAGTAATTAGAAAAATAGTGTAAAAACACGTAATGGCGTTACTGTAAGCTCTATTACGATAATTAAAACAAAAAATTATACAACATAAATGCTCTTTAATAGTGTAAGCTAAGCGCAGCTTATGTTAGCAGTCAACTAAGCGTAAAAAATGCATGCACGCCATTAGCTTATTAATCCGCTTTAATATCAACCCCCATTTTTTGCCGTGCACTCGAACGCACTGCGGTGGTTTGACCCACTTAACTGTCCTGCGCTTCACTGTGTTTGTCAGCGCCACAACAACCGCAGTCAGACGCATTGTTTACCATCGCACTCAGGAGTGTCAATTGCAACCGGCTGCAAGGCTCCTCCACATCCTGCAGCATCATCTCACCAGCTCACTCTCTCTCTGTCTCTGTCTCGCTGTCCTTGCAGGACGACCGCCGCCCAAAGTCACCTGGTGGCGCGACGACACCGAGCTAATCGGCACCAGCCACACATCCGTGGAGGAGGGCGCCACCGTGATGGTTAATCAGCTGCTGATTGGAACCACCACGCGGGACTTCTACGGCATTCGCATCGAGTGCCGGGCGCAGGGCACACGGCTGGTGGATCCGGTCCGCAAGGATGTCACCGTGCAGGTTTACTGTGAGTCATCAACCCCACAACATGTCCCATAAACATTTGCTATTCATTACAACTCAGCTCCGCGAGCTACTTGACCATAAAAGTTTTGCATTTCACTTCAAGCCCTGAAAACACTCGTTGATTAGCTGACTTGTTGACCAAAGGGTCCTTTCATTGAACTCCATTATATGTTTTATATATGTATATATCGTATTGTAAGCAATTGTGCACTTTTCCATACGCAGTGAAACCGGTGCGCGTGAAGATTGCAACTCCCAACGAGCTGCTGACCGCTGGACAACCGATGCCCATTCGCTGCGAGTCCTGGGGCTCGTATCCTGCGGCCAAGATCACCTGGCTACTCGACGGCGAGCCCATCCGCAATGCCGAGGTTACCGTGCACAGCGACAAGGAGGTGAGTAGATGTCCTAGCCAAATTGCCCGAAATTGTCTGACTATTTTATGGCGCTCGCAGTGGATAGCTGTGATAGCTGGGTGAGGAGAAAGTTTTCGTTCTTGTTGTCGTTCCCAGGGCAACGCAACTTTGTGCCCGGAAAATTTGCTTCGAGCGTTTGACATTTGATAGCTGGCCGCAGTGCAGCATCCCATACAACAGTGTGCGGCGCTTAATAGCTCCAGATTCTCGGGGCAGCAACAAAGGCAACCGAGGCGACCACTGGGTGACCCTAAATGCGAGCGGGTCAAACTTTTCCCGGCAGCCGCAAAGGGGGACAGATAAAAGTTGACTCTCCGCCAGCCGGCGCTCCTTTGATGAACTGCAATGGCGAAAAGTTTTGGCCAAGCTGCACAAATTTGCACTCCATGCAGCCAAAGGCCAATGATTCGGCTAATGTGCGAATTTTTATTGCCATCCATCGTGCTTTGCCCTCGCCTCTGCTGGCAAATAGTAGCTATTTTTTCTATTATAGCCAGCATTTATCAGATCCTTTCGCCTACACATCGACGGCATCGGAGATGGCTCAGTTTTCGGCATCCATTAGTTGCCTTTTTCGGGCTGCCACTGCCACTGCCAATGCCACTGCCACTGCCTTTTCGCTTTCTAATTATGCCATGTAAATGGATAGTTGCTGCCAAACGTCGTCAGGCATTAGTCAACTCGTGCATAACCGACTCGACTTCCAACTGGGGGACAGATTTCCACACACGAAGAGTCCTGCGCTTGTTAGTTGGCCTGGCCCGGCATCGATTGTTGCCAAAACGTGGCTCGACTTTGGGGCTCGGAGCTGGTTGATGTCGTAACTTAATACCCAGTTGGCCATGAGATCCTCTGCTTCGCTTCCACATCGCCGTTCCTGGGGCTGACTGGGTAAACTGCTGCACACGGACATCGGCTTAGCTCGAAATTCGAGTCATTATTTTCAAAGACCATGCTGCAAAATGCTTCTCGAGTGGCCACAGTGCTGAAGAAGAGCTAACGAAGGCCGCCTATCAAACGGGGATACATGGCAGCTCTAAGGAAGTTTAAGTTTCACTTAAAACTCCCAAACATTTCAGAGATAGCGATTATCGCAGGAACATGATATATCAATATACTGCTCGTGTATTATTCTATAAAGTCTTCTATAATTTATAAACAAGATAGAATGCTATAGTCGAGTTCCCCGACTACCAGATACCCGTTACTCAGCTAGTGGAAGTGCAAACGAGAAATTTCAACATTCTGGTAGAAATTGGGAAAAAAAATTCAACAAAATTGTGGTCCAATTTTTAGAAAAAATTAAATTCTAAATTTGAATGCAGTTTTTTAGAAAATTGTTTCAGAAACATTTAGACGTATGCCACTTCAAGATCCGATTAAAATAAGTGGAGTTATGGACTTTAGAACTTCAGCCTTGGCACATTTTTGAATTTGTACATTATCATAACATCAGAAAAATGACAAAAAAATTTTGGAAAAATAAATTTCCAAATTTGAATGCAGTTTTATAGAGAATTGCTCCAAAAATATTTAGACGTATGCCACTTCAAGATCCGATTAAAATAAGTGGAGTTATGGACTTTAGAACTTCAGCCTTGGCACATTTTTGAATTTGTACATTATCATAACATCAGAAAAATGACAAAAAAATTTTGGAAAAATAAATTTCCAAATTTGAATGCAGTTTTTTAGAGAATTGCTCCAGAATCATTTAGAGGTATGCCACTTCAAGATCCGATTAAAATAAGTTGAGTTATGGCCTTTCAAACTTTAGCCATGGCACATTTTTGAATTTGTACAACATCATAACATCAGAAAAATGACAAAAAAATTTTGGAAAAAAAAATTTCCAAATTTGAATGCAGTTTTTTAGAGAATTGCTCCAGAATCATTTAGAGGTATGCCACTTCAAGATCCGATTAAAATAAGTTGAGTTATGGCCTTTCAAACTTTAGCCATGGCACATTTTTAGTTGAGTTATGGACTTACGAACTTCACCCGTGGCACATTTTTGAATTTGTACAACATCATAACATCAGAAAAATGACAAAAAAATTTTGGAAAAAAAAATTTCCAAATTTGAATGCAGTTTTTTAGAGAATTGCTCCAGAATCATTTAGAGGTATTCCACTTCAAGATCCGATTGAAATAAGTTGAGTTATGGACTTTAGAACTTCAGACTTGGCACATTTTTGAATTTGTACAACATCATAACATGTCAAATGACAAAAAAATTTTGGAAAAATAAATTTTCAAATTTGAATGCAGTTTTTTAGAGAATTGCTCCAGAATCATTTAGAGGTATGCCACTTCAAGATCCGATTAAAATAAGTTGAGTTATGGCCTTTCAAACTTTAGCCATGTGCACATTTTTGAATTTGTACAACATCATAACATCAGAAAAATGACAAAAAAATTTTGGAAAAAAAAATTTCCAAATTTGAATGCAGTTTTTTAGAGAATTGCTCCAGAATCATTTAGAGGTATGCCACTTCAAGATCCGATTGAAATAAGTTGAGTTATGGACTTTAGAACTTCAGACTTGGCACATTTTTGAATTTGTACAACATCATAACATCAGAAAAATGACAAAAAAATTTTGGAAAAATAAATTGGCACATTTTTGAATTTGTACAACATCATAACATGTCAAATGACAAAAAAATTTTGGAAAAAAAAATTTCAAAATTTGAATGCAGTTTTTTAGAGAATTGCTCCAGAATCATTTAGAGGTATGCCACTTCAATATCCGAATAAAATGAGTTGAGTTATGGCCTTTCAAACTTTAGCCATGGCACATTTTTGAATTTGTACAACATCATAACATCAGAAAAATGACAAAAAAATTTTGGAAAAAAAAATTTCCAAATTTGAATGCAGTTTTTTAGAGAATTGCTCCAGAATCATTTAGAGGTATGCCACTTCAAGATCCGATTAAAATTAGTTGAGTTATGGACTTACGAACTTCACCCGTGGCACATTTTTGAATTTGTACAACATCATAACATCAGAAAAATGACAAAAAAATTTTGGAAAAAAAAATTTCAAAATTTGAATGCAGTTTTTTAGAGAATTGCTCCAGAATCATTTAGAGGTATGCCACTTCAATATCCGAATAAAATGAGTTGAGTTATGGCCTTTCAAACTTTAGCCATGGCACATTTTTGAATTTGTACAACATCATAACATCAGAAAAATGACAAAAAAATTTTGGAAAAAAAAATTTCCAAATTTGAATGCAGTTTTTTAGAGAATTGCTCCAGAATCATTTAGAGGTATGCCACTTCAAGATCCGATTGAAATAAGTTGAGTTATGGACTTTAGAACTTCAGACTTGGCACATTTTTAAATTTGTACAACATCATAACATCAGAAAAATGACAAAAAAATGTTGGAAAAATAAATTTTCAAATTTGAATGCAGTTTTTTAGAGAATTGCTCCAAAATCATTTAGAGGTATGCCACTTCAAGATCCGATTAAAATAAGTTGAGTTATGGCCTTTCAAACTTTAGCCATGGCACATTTTTGAATTTGTACAACATCATAACATCAGAAAAATGACAAAAAAATTTTGGAAAAATAAATTTTCAAATTTGAATGCAGTTTTTTAGATGATTGCTCCAACAACATTTAGAGGTATGCCACTTCAAGATCCGATTAAAATTAGTTGAGTTATGGACTTACGAACTTCAGCCGTGGCACATTTTTGAATTTGTACAACATCATAACATCAGAAAAATGACAAAAAAATGTTGGAAAAATAAATTTTCAAATTTGAATGCAGTTTTTTAGAGAATTGCTCCAGAATCATTTAGAGGTATGCCACTTCAAGATCCGATTAAAATTAGTTGAGTTATGGACTTACGAACTTCAGCCGTGGCACATTTTTGAATTTGTACAACATCATAACATCAGAAAAATGACAAAAAAATTTTGGAAAAAAAAATTTCAAAATTTGAATGCAGTTTTTTAGAGAATTGCTCCAGTATCATTTAGAGGTATGCCACTTCAAGATCCGATTAAAATAAGTTGAGTTATGGCCTTTCAAACTTTAGCCATGGCACATTTTTGAATTTGTACAACATCATAACATCAGAAAAATGACAAAAAAATTTTGGAAAAATAAATTTCCAAATTTGAATGCAGTTTTATAGAGAATTGCTCCAAAAATATTTAGACGTATGCCACTTCAAGATCCGATTAAAATAAGTGGAGTTATGGACTTTAGAACTTCAGCCTTGGCACATTTTTGAATTTGTACATTATCATAACATCAGAAAAATGACAAAAAAATTTTGGAAAAATAAATTTCCAAATTTGAATGCAGTTTTTTAGAGAATTGCTCCAGAATCATTTAGAGGTATGCCACTTCAAGATCCGATTAAAATAAGTTGAGTTATGGCCTTTCAAACTTTAGCCATGGCACATTTTTGAATTTGTACAACATCATAACATCAGAAAAATGACAAAAAAATTTTGGAAAAAAAAATTTCCAAATTTGAATGCAGTTTTTTAGAGAATTGCTCCAGAATCATTTAGAGGTATGCCACTTCAAGATCCGATTAAAATAAGTTGAGTTATGGCCTTTCAAACTTTAGCCATGGCACATTTTTAGTTGAGTTATGGACTTACGAACTTCACCCGTGGCACATTTTTGAATTTGTACAACATCATAACATCAGAAAAATGACAAAAAAATTTTGGAAAAAAAAATTTCCAAATTTGAATGCAGTTTTTTAGAGAATTGCTCCAGAATCATTTAGAGGTATTCCACTTCAAGATCCGATTGAAATAAGTTGAGTTATGGACTTTAGAACTTCAGACTTGGCACATTTTTGAATTTGTACAACATCATAACATGTCAAATGACAAAAAAATTTTGGAAAAATAAATTTTCAAATTTGAATGCAGTTTTTTAGAGAATTGCTCCAGAATCATTTAGAGGTATGCCACTTCAAGATCCGATTAAAATAAG